GGCAGACTTTTATACAATTGCAAGACAAACACTTCATTAATTTTTCATTTCTAAATCTCCACAATATATTTATAACTAAACTATGTTAGAACTTTGAGGCATGCAGTTTGCTAACCCCTAAATTCCACTACCTCCGCTCCGGCACGAACTCCGCAGCAAAATCGGTCCCGTTGTAGTCAGTCAGAGCCATTCCACTACTGTGGCCATGCTGCGGCAGTGCGGCGCAGTGCGCCGCCCTCTGTTCCGGCGTCCGGCAAAAATAGAATCGATCCCATTTTTGCCGGATGCCGGAGCACCTCCGCAGTCAATGGACAGGAATCAAAACCGCCCAACAGGAAAAGGAGCAAGCACAGCTTCCGTTATTTCACAATAAATCGATAAACAAAAAGCGTTTTTTGTTTCATATGCACAGGTTTAACAACTTTTAACAACTATCAATGGCGGCTGAACTTTAAATGCACAAAAATAAGCCATAAATACAGTTTCCACTATCAAAGTAGTCACACTTTGTTGATCCAAACACTGCTGATCTCTCAACACAAATGATGGGCCGATTAAACAGTTCATTTCGATGCTTCTCCCACACAACGGGTGTTTGGATCTAACTTCCGCGTTTATTGCTTGGACTGTATCGCAAGATCTCGAAAATCCCGCGCATGCTTGTTTATGCACCTCAGGTCTCCGCACCAGAGCGGAGCCGTTGTAGAGCGGGTACCAGTAAAAATTGAGTTCGGAAGCGAGCGGCTGCGGAAGGCGGGGGCGGAGCGGAGGTAGTGGACATTGGGGGTAACGTTATGAAGATTTGCCATTGCAGCTTTAATCTGACTAAAGTATTATGAAAGTCCAGCCAGATGTAGGCTACTATAGATACAGCTGTTTCTGATGTTTGCACCTATAATTAACTAAAGAAGTTACATAAATACAAACCACGATGGCCATGTTGATGATCTGGCATTGGACTTTCTATGATTTGAAGTGATTTACTTGATCTTTGTCCTATTCAGACTAGCTGTTAGCTCATTAGCTCCTTGGACCTGTCAGAATTAAACACTCTTTCACCAAACTGGGTTTATTCAAGTAACTGCGCCAAAATGGCAAGATATGAAATGCTTTTAGCCTTTAGAAACTTGCTTTAGAAGACCTAAACTATTCGTTTCGGACCTGTAATACATTTATATTAAACATACATCCGTACAAAGAGTCATTTTAACTACATAGATAACTTCTTGTGTGTGTGTGTGTGTGTGGGGGGGGGGGGGGGGGGGGGGGCAAATTATTTTTCATGTAATTAAGTAGCTTGTGTTTTATGGCTTAAACCAGCTGTGTCCAGTCCTGGGCCCAAAGGGGCCACTATCCTGCATTACTTTTTCATTGCTCTAACACACCTGGTTCACAGGTTGATTTACTTGTTTATGAAGTTCAACAGTTAACCACCTGGTCATTCACATCAGGTGTGTTTGTGCAGAAAAGTGTCTAAAACATGCAGGATGGTGGCCCTCGGGGTTCAAGACTCAACATCTTTACCACTGTTATTATGGTGGAGCCTGTCATCAACCCTCATGAGGTCTTTGAAGGCCAAGGAAAATATTTCTGGAGTTTAAAACTCATTAAAAGGTCTAATATTTTACAGTCTATATTATAATTTTCTGATTCATACTGAATCAAGATCTCACATACCCTGCTTGGATCTGTTTTCATATAAATAATTGGTAGTGCAAGTTTGAATTCAGGAAATTGTTAAACACACTTCAACGCCCAGCATTTGCTGAGGAGAAGCCTTCACCCCTTTGTGATGCTAGTATTCAGCCATGCCCGATTTCACTCTCTTATTACCGTGATTGCCTGCAAAAGGTGGCAGGACGCTGAAGTGCATTCACTCTGCCAGACGGCTTCATAAAGCGGCTACTGATGGTTCCCAGTGGGACCCTCATCAGCGGCAGCCAGCAGTGAAGCGCCTGCGGACTTTGCTCTCAGAAGTCACAACAGTACTCTTGCTGATAGAGGACTGTGAGCAGAGAGGGTAGAAAAACAAGATGGACACCGTGCAATTTCGTCTCTTGAATGCCTCGTAGGGAGGTCATCCAGGAAGTAATGAGGTGAAACGCTGCAGTGGAGCAGTAACTGTCAATCAGTTTGGATATTGTTGGGTTATAATGAGCGCCTGTTGTGAGTAAGCACCTACATAACTAGGCAGCTTAGCTGAATGTAGACCACCTTTTAGCCTCTTCCAACATCTGCCTCTCTCTCTGTAATCTCCTTCATCCTTTATTTTTTCCTGCTCGTTGAGAGCATGGCAAGTGAAGCTAGTAGCCATGGACGATTTCCCAAGCATAATCCAACATCTGTCTTCCTCACGTCTCCTACTTTGGCATGACCCCCCCCCCCCCCACACACACACACACACACACACACCTCACCCCATCCTGTGGTAGTCGTCACAGCCTCTGAACGATTTCCTCTCACAGGGAGGCTTCTCCGAGTCATTGTGGCAGTGTCAAACCATGCTCGTATTTAAGCTCATTAAATGTTTCCAAGAGAATAGGAAATCAATGGTGCATACCGGTGCGCAAGAACTTTTCTCTTAATTTAATTTCCCCTCCCCCGTATATCTGTTTGCACATCTTCTCTTTCTTTCCCCCATCATTCACGCTCCTTCTCTACGGCTTGTCATCCTCCTTTTAGTAGTGGGAGTGGTGAAGGGGGACGAGGCCAAAAATGGACGCCTTCAGAAGCTGTTTCAGACTCATACTTGTGACAGGCACCATGGTGCGAGGCTGTCCAGACCGTTCAACTGCGTTTAGCACTCACCTCACGGAGCACAATGGACTTGAAAGTTTCGCGCACGCTGACCAGAGCCATGGAGTTCGGGCTTTTGTTTCAGCCCGTGCTGTTAGGAAACAGGTTTTGAACAGCACAGAATGTAGCCGAGAGAAGGTGCGGGGGGGGGGGGGGGTGAAGCACGCTGATGTTTTGGACCGAGATGAGCTGAGTTTAAAAATACTCCCACCTCATGCTTGGATCCTTTCCATTTTGCCTTCACTTATTTTGTCCTCCTTGGTGTTTTTCTCATCATATTTCTCATATGGCCGCTGGGCGTGTGTGTGTGTGTGCATGTCTGGCAGGGCTTTGTGCTGTTTGAAGCCATGCCTGGGGACTAGGCCCACACCTTCTCTGGAGCTCCTGTAATTGCTCATGTGGGGCTGTGCCTCTGGCTCCGAGCCTGTCCCCATCACTCTAATGCCGTCTTTCTGCCCCCCCCCCCCCATTCCCCCCCTCCATGTCTTCCTTCCCTCCATGGCTCATTATGGCTGATCCCCACCTGCCCAGTTGGGGAATTCTCTTTACACACGCATACACACATCTGCACCGATACAAACTCACACTCAGTCACACACACTGAGCCACTCAGCAGTTTTCCAAGCTGCCTGTCGCTTGGATGGTTTGTGTGCTATCTGCTATAAAACAGCTTTGCTAATACTGTTTGTCCAAGAAATGGAAACAATGGGGCCATCACATTTTTTTTCTCTGCTGCTGGGGCAAACGGACTGTTTCTCATCTCTTTTGTGGCTGTCAGGGCACCATTTTTCATAAAACCCAGCCCTTCAACACCAGCTCCTGCCTTTGTACATCAGCCTCAGCCACAGGCTCTTAACCACAGGCTTCTTTCCCTTTTTCATTCCAGCCCTCCTTCCACCATGTCACCCGGCAGCCCCTTCCATGGCTGTTCTCAGGCCGGCGGGCTTGCTTTGAAGCATAATGGATGTGGCCAGTTGCAGCTGCTCAGCAGCGGGGCACTATCATAGGAGTTATCTAAGGACCTGAGAGTGGCCTGTGATGAATGGCTAGAAGCCGTGTGTCTCCTCCGATCAATAAGCCACTAGCACCCAGATGAGCTAGATGCCTCTTCCCTCTCCACACTCCCCCTCCCCCTCTACTTCTACGTCTCCCACTCATAATCTCTCTCCATGTTTGTGAACTTTTGCCTCCAATTCTTGGCCTGAATAGAGCCATTGATCTTTTATCCTCGGCTTGTTTTAAATAAAGGAGCGGTTTCTCCTCTTCACCCAAGCATACACGCTTTCTGACAGTAGTCATTGTTGGACTGGCAGCCCACCTCAAAAACATTACTTTAGCCAGATCGAAAAATCTGTAATCGGAGAGGGAGAGCAGGCATGACGCTCTCCGTCTGCATCACCTCTGAGGCTTCCATAGCAAACCTAATGCAGGCTGTAGACCCATGTGGATTTAGACTCTTGTAATGGAGAAAAATGCTCGTATAAACCTAACTGCCTTGCAGTCGGGGCTCATTAAGCACCGCCTGTCCCAAAGTGATGCAAACTGCCCCGCCCAGTATGAAATGTCATGAGATGTTTTGTCCAAGTGTAAAACACCCGTGCATGTGAAGTCATCTCAGACCTCCATCGTGTGTGAATGTGTGCTCCTAATGCAGAACGACAGAAGTGTAAAGGCCGTGTGCGTTTGATCTGAATGTTCTCACTCAGTAAGTGATAAATTGGTAACAAAAAGTGTATCTAAAAATCTCTCTTCCTCTTTCTTTTCTCTTCTGGGAACTTTCAGTGGTTTGTATCTTTCTCATTTCTCATTCTCCACCCCATTTCGCTCCTCTTCTCTCCCCTCTAGCTCCAATCTTCTCTCTGATCTGCTGTTGTCTCTGTCACAAAGAGCAAACTTTCAGTCTGATAATTGCATGTCTGCTGGCCCCCCACACCTGTTGCTGTCATTGCGGCCACGCTGGGGGGGTGACACGAGCATTTCGCCCTCTGGCCTTTGTGTGTCCAACACTCAGACCACCGCTACCTTTTGCTGCAGGTTTAAACCCACAGGGAAAAGAGAGCCTGATTTGACCAGTTCATAGATGTGGGATGAAGTGTGTTTATTTGCATGCTTGAGCACCACCTCCAGCATATGTGTCTGTGAAATGTGTGCCTTCTCCAATCTGGCTGGTCCCCCTCCTAATCCTTTTTTCTTCCTTTCTCCAGAGCCCAAGCCCTTAATGAAGCTGGGGGTCAGCGGCAGTGTGCGGCTAATTGGCCAAGTTCGCTCGGGGCTTTGGCTACCTGTGATTGAAGTGTGCAGTGAGCACCCACTGTGTAGCCGCTGCTGCACCCACCTCTGTTCCACTCCAGCAGCCAAGACACTCACTGCACCCCCGTCTGCCTTTCCCTAGTGAGTAGAGCACAAGGTCATTTTAGTTTCACTTATTCTCTCATTATTTTGTCCGGTTTCCTCTGTTTTAGTACTTTTCTTTGAGCAAAGACGACTCCTTAGACCCTTGATTTCTAATCCTCTCTATTATAATTTGGTTTTGAAATGTTCCTAATTTATTTGCTTGTAATTTTTTTCTCTCTGTCTGCATTTTTTATTGCTAGACCGACCCATTCCCACACTTGTTCCCAGCATTTCTTTTTTCTTTCTTTGGCTCGTACTTTACTTACACTCTTTTCTCACTTGCCACAGTTGGATTCAGGGAAATTCCACGCTGGCCAGCAGCCAGGTGTGGAAAACATTGTCCAGTCTGTTATTTTTTTTTTCTCCATCATCAGCTTCAAGTCGGGGCAAGGTGTCTCCAACTGCTGCAAACAAGAAGGCGTGGCAGCAGATTTGTGGGGGTGTATTTCATTAGTTGAGCCTTTACTTTCTAATTCTCGTTAAGGCAGCTCTCACTCCTATTATTTATTTTTGTGTATGAGAGCAGACACTATGAAGCAGTTCTGGGGAAAGAGATCAAGCAGATTCGAGAAGAAAAGCCACTGAGGAACCTGTTCTGTTTCCTGGGAGATAAATGCTCATCTCACCTGGGAGATTTGCTGGCACCACTCTAACCCCAAAGTGCCACAGCGTATCGATTAAAAACACACTTTTGTTTTTGTACACATGGAAGTGGAACACTGATGGCTAGTAGAAATGGTCAGCACTCTTAGTCAGGAAACAATGGTCCAATTAGAAGTCAAGTCTCAGCCTATGAGTTAGGCCAAGTTATACAAGTTATACTCCAACAAGAATTTTATTTGTTCACAATTAAGTCCAATGTGCATTTATTAGGGGACGGGAGTGATTAAACGCCCCTCATGCTCATTAAACGAGTATCCCCAGTAATTAACGGCTGCTGTAATGGTTTTACGTAGAGGGTCGTTAAAACCTCTTCTCTACACATTTAATTGTAAGATGGAAACACTATATGCCATTACTCACTCAGTCTATAAGATGAATGAAGGTGAAAAATATTTACATAGAAATGCACATGATGCATGAAGGTTTACCCACATTTACCATCCCCCTAAAAAGTTTCTGTATGGCGTTTAAAGCGTGCCACAACCCGTGCACGCGCATTGGGTCCACAGCGCGCGTGTGAACGGGACTCGCGAGCGGAAATATACATGGCGAGAGGTCATTTGTGCACTGAGAGGGAGCAAACTGTGTCTGTGAGCGCACAAGGATGTGCACAAGTGACAAACCTGCGTGCGCGCGTTGTCAACGAGCACACGGCAGAGGAAAACGTGCGCGCGCGGCAGCCTCTGTGCGCGCTCGGCAGCCTCTCTGCGCGCTCGGTTTCTGACTCCTGCTCGCTCGGCTGTAAGGGTTTTGGCACTCTGGAGGCGTGGCCTGTGGCAGATCTCCTCTGTCCTCTGATTGGTTAGTGTATCCCGCACTTTACCCTCTACCTATCTATATAAAAAAGTCTACTAGTCAAGTAGTTGCTGGCATAGCTCAGTTGGAAGAGCGGGTGACTCTCGCCCCGAAGGATCCAGGTTCGAGGCCGGGCAAGGAAAATGTAGTAGATGTCATGTTAATTTTTCTTAATTTCAGGTATTTTACAGTTGTGACCGTTCAACTGTCATTAAACGTCCGAATGTTTGCTGGGCAGTGTTTTAAAAAGTGCACATAAGCTAGATGGTTTTAACCATATAAAATTACATTTTTTGTGATACTGGAAAAATACATACTGAAATAAAACTACTGATTGAAAACTTTATGACTGTGGTTGTACAATATATGACTCACTAATACACTGCAAACTCCCTTAGAGTGGGGCTTCCAGAGAGAGAGAGAGAGAGAGAGAGAGAGAGAGAGAGAGAGAGAGAGAGAAAGTTCTTGCCTCATTAATGAATTGTTTATTTTTTTCAGTATTTAATTGACAAATTATCCTTTCAAATAATTAATTGATGAGTTACATAATTGTCCATTTAGAATTGTTGAATGGACTGAGTCAAGTTTGGTGCACTTTATATATTTCAAAACATGTTTTTTTTTATTTTAATGATGCATATAAATAATTTAAATGTTAATTTAATGAAATATTTCTATTTTTTCATTACCTCACCCTTGTTTTGACAAAAACGGGACCTTGCTGGATAATATCATGGAGAAACTATTTGTTCACAGTACATGGCTCCGTAAGGATCTGTGTACCAAAGGAGGAGATACTCAGAAATCTGTCTGCAGATTGTTACAACCCAGACTGGAAGTGGCGGGCTGTAATAAGAAAGGAGACCAAACAGAGGAGTGGGGGTTCAACAACTGATTTATTTAACAAAAGTAAGGATTTACTAAAGCAAGTTAGTGAACAGAAAATGGCCATCTCAAGGTTTTACTCGGATGTCCCTCAGCAGGGTGCAGCACTGTTGAAGGTCATCTGAATGAAAGCTTGATATGCAGCTTCTTTATGAAAGTGTGTAAATATACAGTATGGTTGCCGTACATATGTTGAGGTTCTCAGACATCAGGCTTCTTTGCCCAGGCCTTCACTAGTGGGCTATTTTAAAAGTTGGTAAGGAGAAAAACCACAGCATATAGCTGATTGTTTACAAATGCAAGGAGGGGAATAACAATCAAAATGCTTGTGTTCTTGGACCAGATGAATGGAGCGCTCCACATGCACTCAGAGATGTTATGGCTTCTGTTTCTATAACTTTACATGCAGACATTTGAGGTTTGCCAGAAAGGAAAGCTGGCCTGTACACTTTGCAGGGCACAATGTCATCAATGCAGAAACCCCTGTCTACCAAGATGACCATCTCTAGTTGTAGCATTTTCAACACACCAGATTCCCAGGTTGGTCGCTGATAGTTCCAGCATACAGTGCTGAGACAAAGGTCACTGGCCTATGTGGCACAATCCAAATGAGCCTCTTCAGAGTGCAGTTGAACTTGAGGAAAATATATGACTCTGGAAGAGAGGGGAATATGGCCATTGACACCTCAGATCAGTGCAGTCAAGATTTACTGGTGTTTGGGTAGTCCTGAACGTGTTGTGATGCCCCCACCATCTCATTGGGTTTTCATTTGTGTTTAATTGTGTTTTTCTTCTGTTGTAGGCAGCTGGTTAAGCAGCCTTGGAGGCACCTGGGCTCAGGGTGTGGTGCTGCCTACAAAGCCTACTGTTTTTCTGCTTTCACTGGGTCTCTCCTGTGTGGTGGAGAGTCCTCACTGGCCATTTTCTGTTCACTAACTTGCTTTAGTAAATCCTTACTTTTGTTAAATAAATCAGTTGTTGAACCCCCACTCCTCTGTTTGGTCTCCTTTCTTATTACAGCCCACCACTTCCAGTCTGGGTTGTAACAATCTGCAGACAGATTTCTGAGTATCTCCTCCTTCGGTACACAGATCCTCACTGAGCCATGTACTGTGAACAAATAGTTTCTCCATGATATTATCCAGCAAGGTCCCGTTTTTGTCAAAACAAGGGTGAGGTAATGAAAAAATAGAAATATTTCATTAAATTAACATTTAAATTATTTATATGCATCATTAAAATAAAAAAAACATGTTTTGAAATATATATAAGTGCACCAAACTTGACTCAGTCCATTCAACAATTCTAAATGGACAATTATGTAACTCATCAATTAATTATTTGAAAGGATAATTTGTCAATTAAATACTGAAAAAAATAAACAATTCATTAATGAGGCAAGAACTTTTCTCTCTCTGTCTCTCTCTCTGTCTCTCTCTCTCTCTCTCTCTCTCTCTCTCTCTCTCTCTCTCTCTCTGGAAGCCCCACTCTAAGGGAGTTTGCAGTGTATTAGTGAGTCATATATTGTACAACCACAGTCATAAAGTTTTCAATCAGTAGTTTTATTTCAGTATGTATTTTTCCAGTATCACAAAAAATGTAATTTTATATGGTTAAAACCATCTAGCTTATGTGCACTTTTTAAAACACTGCCCAGCAAACATTCGGACGTTTAATGACAGTTGAACGGTCACAACTGTAAAATACCTGAAATTAAGAAAAATTAACATGACATCTACTACATTTTCCTTGCCCGGCCTCGAACCTGGATCCTCCGGGGCGAGAGTCACCCGCTCTTCCAACTGAGCTATGCCAGCAACTACTTGACTAGTAGACTTTTTTATATAGATAGGTAGAGGGTAAAGTGCGGGATACACTAACCAATCAGAGGACAGAGGAGATCTGCCACAGGCCACGCCTCCAGAGTGCCAAAACCCTTACAGCCGAGCGAGCAGGAGTCAGAAACCGAGCGCGCAGAGAGGCTGCCGAGCGCGCACAGAGGCTGCCGCGCGCGCACGTTTTCCTCTGCCGTGTGCTCGTTGACAACGCGCGCACGCAGGTTTGTCACTTGTGCACATCCTTGTGCGCTCACAGACACAGTTTGCTCCCTCTCAGTGCACAAATGACCTCTCGCCATGTATATTTCCGCTCGCGAGTCCCGTTCACACGCGCGCTGCCATGTATATTTTCGCTCGCGAGTCCCGTTCACACGCGCGCTGTGGACCCAATGCGCGTGCACGGGTTTTGACAGGGGTATGACGCGATATTTCTGTGTCTTTCCTTCAGTTTCATAGCTGCAACAAACCTCGGGACTCGCTGGTTTTTTGATGCTCGGTGCTTCCTTGTCTGTAAAGAGCTCAGCCTGATGGACAACTTCTTTTTTTTTCTACATTATCAGCTGTTTACTTTGCAGATAAGTGTTGTGCTCTACTTTGCCTCACATTTCCTGCAGCCCTGCATGCCCACCAGCCGGCCCTCTGGTGTAAAAGATAATCAAAATGTGGCTAATTTGAAATGTAGGCTACCCCAGTTGGCAGCGCACATGGACAAATCTCCTTCCAAGTTCTATCAAGAAAGCACAGTCAGAACAAGATATTTAAACTACAAATGTGACCCAAAATACAACCCAGTAATATTTCTCACTTCCTATCTTT